TAACACTGGAGAATGAAAATCCCACTTTAAAAACCCTTATCTAAAACTATATTAATTTTAAGGGTAGCATGTTAGAATTACTTATATTTTAGACAAATCTGAAATTTCAGAGGCTATGAACAAATAGAGAAATAAGCCACATTTGAGAGAGTAGAAATGTTTGTTTAAATTTTTTTCAATCTACATTTTTTGATGAGTATAGGTAACTATCACACATTGAGACTCTCATGTACTTACAGAGAAAAGGGGGTGTGCAGTTTGCTTAATTTTTCTTTTTCATTTATTCTTCATAATGAAACTCATTCCTTGGAGAATTAAAAGTAATTTGGAGGAATGAGATTAGGAATTTGGGATCTAGAAAATATATATATATGAAACATTCTTATTTTACAAATCAATCCCCCTTCCCTTGCCCTCCCAATCCCCCCACTGACCTCCCCAACCCACCGTCTACCCACTCCCCAAGGATCCCCAGGCCTTCCTTCCACAGGGATCATCAAAGACTATCACATCATTTGGGGGAGGGCCTAGGCTCTCGTTTGTGTATCTGGGCTGCAATAGTATCCCTCCATAGGGAATGGACACCCAAAGTCCATTTGTGCACTAGGGATAAACACTGGCTCCACTGTCAGAGGTCCCCTAGACTACCCAGGATTCCCAGCTTGGCACCCACTTTCAGAGAGCTTGGTTCAGTCCAATGCTGTTTCCCTAGCTTTATGACTAGGGTCTCTGCTCTCATTAGGTCAGTTCAACTGCTTCTGTGGGTTTCTCCAGCACAGTCTTGGCTCCTTTGCTCATTCCTCCTCCCCCCTGCAACTGGATTCCAGGAGTATGGCTCAGTGTTTAGCTGTGGGTGCGTGCTTCTGCTTTGATCAGCTACTGGATGAAGTCTATTCTAGGATGGCAATGAAGTTAGTTATCCATCACATTAAAGGGGAAGGGCATCAGGCAGCCTCTCCTCTACTGCCTAGATTCTTAGTTGGGGTCATGCCTGTGCATCCGTGAACATTTCCCTAGTGTTAGACCTCTTTCTAAACCTATACTGGCTCCCTCTCTCAAGGTTTCTCCTTTCTTGCCCTCCTCTGTTCCTCCCCTGTCTCAGTCTTCCTGATCCCTCTTGTTCTCCTTCCCCCTCCTCTTCTCCCCTTCTCTTTTTCCTATTCCCCTCCCCCACCCCGTGCTCCCATGTGTTTTTCTCTTGGGGTCCTCCTTGTTTCCTCGTTTCTCTGGTGGTGTGGATTGTAGGCTAGTAGTCCCTTTGCTCTATGTCTAATATCCATATATGGGTGAGTACATAAGATGCTTGTCTTTTTGTGATTGGGTTACCTCACTCAGGATGTTGTCTTCCAGTTCCATCCATTTGCCTGTAAATTTCAAGATTTCATTGTTTTTTTTTTCCTGCTGAGTAATACTCCATTGTGTAAATGTACCACATTTTCTCCATCAATTCTTTGGTTGAAGGGCATCTAGGTTGCTTCCTGATTCTGGCTATTATAAACATCACTGATACAAACATAGTTGAACATATGTCCTTGTTGTATGAATGTGCATTCTTTGGGTATATTCCCAAGAGTGGAATTGCTGGATCTTGAGGAATCTAAAATATTTTAACTAAAAAAGGCTAATGTTATACTATGTTCATTTTATTAGTTTTCAAAAGCAGGATATTCTTTCTAGCACAACTTACAATTTTGGTTAAATGTCAATTTTATTTTGCTTATTGGACTTTATGTAAATTACTAATAATTAAGCAATCACCTTGTAGTCTATAAGTTAACATTTTTTATTAGAAAGCTGGATTTATCTGACTGCATACTCTTTAAGATCTTAATTCTATTTTTAATATAAATCCATATTTTATGGAAGTTGTTAATATGAGGTTCTTAAAGACAATAAGCAGTATTTTATTATCTTTAACCCTTGTATTAAAAAAAGATAGGTGGTAAAATATGTTACATGTTTATAGAAATATATTTCTGTTACAATATGTAGATATTTTAATTGTTTAGATCTCTTAAAACATCTCATTTTGCTTACACATATGCAAATGTGTCATTAAATCTGCTTTTTAAGATTTTTCCAGTTTAATGTCTGAATCCAAATTCATAAAGAGTTGGAAAAATGAGATGTCTGAGCTATAGGATTCACAGGGATTTCATATGAAGCCTATTTAATCAGGATAACACAGTTATTAATATTCATAATGTCAGCTGGAACACAAATGACAGACTATGAGGCCTAAAATTTTTACTTGGTGAATTTATTAAAAGTAGCTTAAAAAATTAATGGAATTTAAGTAAAGTTAGTGAATATGAAAATCGTGTTAGCAGAAAAAAATCTCTATTAGAACTTTCTTTAAGATCATTTTACATTGATGTCTTTTGACAGATTTCATTGGTACTTAAAGAAGATAGATGCATGAATGGTCATTTAAGAGGATTTAAACACATTGGCACATTAATTTTTACATGAATAATAAGTACTTTCCAAAAGCAATTAACTTACAGTGTACAAGATATGAATTGAAAAATAAGACTCTGACATCAAGGTCAAAGAAAATGTGCTGTACATTTTAAACTTCGTGACAGGACTTTTTAATATTTTGATTTATTTTTATAGTTTACTTAAGAAATTATTTTGAATATGATTTTAATGCATTTGAGAGCAAATTAGAAGAGCATTGCTGTAGAATTTTTTTTCATTTCCAAAGGATGATGGTGTAGTGGTAAACATTGTGTGTTTGCATTTATTGAAGACAAACATTTGTGGTAATTGCAGAATTTTATTAGAGGACATGTTCAGTTCTACAGAAAGGCAAAGGGATACATGTTAGGGTTTGTGTTATAAATAGATGTTTTTAATACCGACATTTATTATCACATCTTTAAACTATAATAAGTAAGCTTCCTAAATGTGTGACATTAAGGATCATCTGCTCAGTAGAACATAAGTAGGTTCTTTCTTATTTTTAAAGGAAGAAAGTAAAAGTTGGGAGTTCTGTAAATAAGACCAGGAGGCATTTGCTGTAGTGCTTATATTTTTTATTTTTCAAATTATTCTTGAGCTGGATAAATGGATTCGTAGTTAAAAGCACTTGCTCTTCCAGGAGACTTGAGTTTGGTTCCCAGCATACTCAACTGGGCAGCTAACCACTGCCTGCAGCTCCAGCTCCAAGACATCAGGTGCCCTCTTTTGGCCTCTGCAGGCATGAACACATACACGGGACAAATAGACACACAAGTGCACATAAATTTTTAGAAATATTATTCTTACAATGACAATTCTACCAGTCATTACTTTTTATTATTAAACTTAAAAATAATTTTAGGCCATTATATAAAGTTGTAATACCTTATGTCAGTTTACATTTTTAGCACAAATCTTGGAGATTATGAAAGCATAGCTTAGTTTTGACATATCCATCCTGCACTGACAATTCAGATGGGTGCAAGAAGATCACTTGTCAATGCTATACAAGCATGATTTGGGTTTGTTAAAATTTAGAAATTGTTTTGTTCATTTTGGCCCTGAGGCTCCAAGATTTTTACTTAGAAAAGAATTAATTATATTGATTCTATAAATTACTATACTATAACACATTTATCTGGGCTTGTGAGATACATAATGATGTCAAGTTAATATGCCATTTATTCATTGTCTAGAGGCTTTCAAAATTAAGATTTTGAAGTGAAAATCTTTGACTTAGAGAAATTCACTTATCTGCCCAGGAGAGGGCAGCATTTTACTACATCAGGCTTATTAAAAAAATTGCCCTGCTTAGGCTGTCAATGTTTCTTGTAATTACTCCCAGTATATTTGTTGCTTGCTTATGAATTAACTTGCATTTATGGAACTAAATCATTCCAATCATTTAATTACACCTGAGGAGCTGAACTATAATTGCCTGCTTCCAACTAGGATCTGATATGGCTTGAGCAGTATTAATTTGGTGTTTACTTTTCTGAGTGCTAAAAGCATTAAAATGATTGTGCAATGGGATTACATTTTACTAATTGCTGGCATTCATTAGCTGGGTAAATGATGAGGAAGAGTGACTGTATATTGCAGAGGGATAAAATTATGGTTTTAAATAGTATATTACTAAGCACATTAAGGCCTGTAAGACATGCTTTAAAATACTCCAGAGGTTATTAAAGACTGTATTTTCTACATGTCTTGCTATATGAATCTCTTATTAAAATACTGCAATTATTATTAACCTTTTTGGGCAATATGTAGGGAAATAGCTTCATTGACTAGAACATACTTCTTTGATATTAATAACTTCCTATATTTTCAGCTAATCCAAAAGTAAATGAGGAACTTAGAAAAAGATTGCCAACTCCATATCAACATATTTAGAGAAAATTGGAAAAGAAGAAGCTTACTACAGCTTTATTTGAGTACTTTTTAAAGAACACAAGGTTCTAGCTGTGAGGTATATCTAATTTCATTCTCCATTAAAATGAAAGGATGAAGAAAGGAAAATAAGAAGGAAGGAAGTAAAACCTGTATTATTTTGATCATATTTATTAAAGCATAAGCAGAAGAAAGATCCCAGTGATTTCTTAAGATAATAATTAAAAAATAGACTATCAATCTTAAATTGGCTTTAGAGGTGTTGTGTTTATATGAATATATGTAATAAATTGAAATCAATAAATTTGAAGTTTTAGATACAAAGTATATAGCATGAATAGTACAGTTTTAAGCACATGAGGTTGTAGTTAAAACTGCAGGTCAAATAAATTATATATTCTGTAATCCAAGAAGTTAGAATGTGTAAAAGTTTAACCTGTATTTATGAAAACACATTTGTGAAGAAATAACATTTTCCTGAGAAAAAGACTTAATTTCACCTGTTTGAAAGACAGTTAAATTTCCTACTATAGATGTTTTAGAAAGTTATTTATCCTATAAATCTGTTAAATAAAGTAAGATTTAGGCATGTTTTGATATATTGTTTTAAGTTTATTTATCTAGAACTGGCTTTATTTTAGCTTCAGTCTTGGAGCCAAAAGCAGAGACAGTGCCAGAGCAAACAAGAATAGAAGTGCACATGGAGGGCTGGTCAGAAGGTAAGGACTCTAGATGTTTATATCAAGCGCCTCGTGCGGTGGCAGTTCAAGGCACTAAATGGAGTGTATTTGTCCTAACCAATATGCTAGACTAAAACAACAAGTACACACTTCTTGTACATGTATTTATTTGCACACATACATGTACACACACATGCACGCGCGCGCACACACACACACACACACACACACACACACACACACACACACACACACAAAGGAGACCCACACCAAGTGATCTGTTGCAAAAGAAACACCAAGAAAGACAGAGACATATACATACCACAAAGGAATCATAGATGCTCACAGAGGAAAAAAACACACTGAAAAGATTTTGTGAAGAGGATAGAAAAAAAGATAACACAGAAAAAGACAATTGTACATGCCAAAGGATGAAGGAGATGGGACAATGTTTGACTGAGATAGATAGACATACAGAGGCACAATTAGAGGAAGAGGATTGGACATATTTGCAGAAGACACAGAAAACCTAAAGATACACTTGTGGAGATGTACATAAAGAAACACACATAGTGGCTGGAAGAAAAAGAGGTATTTTGGAGAGACACACATCATGGAGACAGAGCTGTACGGTGAAATAGAGAGCTAGGGAAGAAACACAAAACAGAAAGGTGACTGTGCACAGAAACGCATAGGAACTAGCAGGGCAAAAGACATCCCGAGTCAAAGAGTGCGGTTGGGAGGGTCAAACATGTACGTGGGGACGGAGGAGAAGACACCTCAAGACAGAAACACCCAGAGCAAACTGAGAAACAGAAACATGTCTGCAATAAGACATACCCAGAGAAGCTCAGAGGGGAGGGAACAAAGTCAAAAGAACCCAGAGTCAGAACTGCAAAGACAGCAATGCGTAAAGATGTACAGCTATATTAAAGACTGTCTTGCTGACATACATACATACAGACAGGCAGGCAGACAGACACAGGAAGAGACACAGAGAGAAGATGTAAGTATGCAGAAACAGTGACAGAGACAGAAACAGAATGACAGTCCAAACATTAAGGCAGGCTGATAAATGCTTAGGGGGAAGGGAATATCCAGGAGGCTTAAGGTGTATCCTACTAAAATTCTGAAATTTTGGAATTCTCTGGAAATAAATAATTTTGAGCACGACATGGAACATATAGTTTAAGGCTTAAATGTTTTTTATTCATTTTTTAATTTCATCTTAGTTTTATCATCTAAAAATAGGATATTTACCAAAAGACTTCAGTCCTTTCTCTTGGTTTGGAGTCCTTTTCTTCTAATAAAAGTCTTTATAAAGTATGTACTTTAAAAAAAATGAAGGCTGGAAAGGGACAGTCTGATGATCTTTGAGTAAGTCACTACTTGCAGTTTGGAAATATAGAAAGGTACTGTGCTTTATGAATGTTTTCTGACTTCTTTGTTTGATTTTGATTTTCATAGTTACAGCTTTCTATTTACACTGCCATTAGTGATTTACTTTCTTGCTTGAGACTCTGAGCTGCTTTTGATGAGTTGTGACAAAATAGTTGACTGAGTTTTGTTTAAAGTTATAGTATACTTTGTATTTGTATATGGTTTCATTGTAACAATAACGATTTTGTGCCTGAATTTTTAATGTGATCTGGAACTAATTTGTTGTGGCTATTTTCTTCTCTTATTTAAATAAACAAGCGTTCTTATTTTGAATAGCTGAAAAGGTACTCCACTGAACTTAGGTACAAAATGAAATAAAAAGGCAAATACTGATGTCTCCTGTTTACAGTCTCTAGTGTTCGGTCACGTACTTGTGAAAGTCGTATTGTTCACAATATGACTTTGGAGACTGAAGGATCTTTAAGTGCCAAGGGAATCATTGTTAATAAAGCTAAAGAGAGAGAAGCTATGGAGGAAGTACTTCTCAGGTGTAGTGGAACTAGCAAGGGACACCTGATGCCTGGGATCCTTTGAAAAAGGAAGGTTTTAGGACTGAAAATATAAATGCCAGATAGTTTGTAGAAGGCGTGTACTGTGGTAGAACTGACTGAAACATTAATAAGAAAATATGCATCTTATAGGAGCTTTTGACAACAGAATTACAAATAAAACATAATTTTTATGAGACTGATACTAAACATTATTAAGAACCAAACTGGTAAACTATAGCATCTTTTCAGTATTGCTTTGGAGTGAACTTTCACATGTCATATTTACCTTAAAGTTCTATTTTACACAGGTAGTATAGCCTATTCTTAGGGATAGTGTCTTATTGAACCTTATTTTACCTTTGGAAAAGATAGGCTAATTAAAACTTTATGTAGCTACATTTTCACATTGTCTTAAATCTCACAAGGAATACCCAAGTGGCCTTTCTTTTCTGTGTATCTTTTTAAATATAATTTTAATTAAAATATAATTATATTATTTCCCCCATTCTCTTTCCTCCGTCCTATCCCTACCTTGTCTTCCCACTCACTCCCCCTCAAATTTATGGTCTTTTCCCCTTTATTATTGTTACATATATATAAATACATATGCACAAGTAAACACATAACATACAATCTTTTACTGAATTTCTTACACAAGTTTTGCTGAAATATTTTAAAGTTTATTAGATAAATCAGGCAACAGATATGAACATTTGCTTTGTGTGTGTGTTTGTCATTACACATCACTTTAGAAAATGTGAACTCAAGATAGATGGGACAGGTAATAAAAGCTTCTAAAAGCATCTTTACGTTTTCTTACATAATTGAAGTACAACCTTGAATGAAGGAATGAACAGAGCTTCAGTTACTGGAAGCAGCACAGCTACACTCATGCAGTCTTCTGGCCTCTTAAATAAAGTTATTTCACCTTTTTATAAACAATTTTATTTCTTAGGATTCTTTTTGTGTTTTTTTTTAAGAAGTAAAATGAAATGTCATGAGAAACTTAGAAACATGTATTTGAACAGGTAGTTTTATGGTTGATTGTTTAGTTTTGTTTTTTTGGTTTTTTTTAGCAATCCGTATCTGTGGAGTATGTAGCCAGGAGTTTAGCCAGCTGAATGGAAAATATTTTGAGGAAAACTTGTACCTGGATTTTGATGGTGCGGAATTTCTTTCACATTATTCTCCAAAGAATACAGGGGAGCGACTATTTGTATAACATGTAATGGAATCAGTCTATAAAGGATTTAAAGTATTGCAAAGGTTTGTTTGTAGCTTCTATGTTACTTTTTTTAAAGGACTTGAGGTTACCTGCAGGTTTTGGTATTAGTGGGGCATCATGGTACCAATATCCACTTATTTATCTGATTGTATTAAAGAATTTATAAGGCTCTTATATATAATAATTTGGAATAGTAATATAAATTCTTACACTAATTTAGGTGATTTTATCACAGAAGTATGATCTCAGCGTTTTATACATCACAACAATCTTTTGGAAACTTTATGTATTATGTGTGGCTAGATATGTTAGCCATAGTATGTACATTTATATAGTATTGGTAAAACCAAGGACTGATTAGCAGTTATCTTTAGAAAATTGTGAAACTTATTTAAATTTAGAACCTTTAGGGGTCAGTGTTCCCTAAGAAAGGTAAAAAAATTGCTACAGTGCATATCAGAAACATTAAATCTCCTATCTTTTAAATAATTTTTACTAATTGAAAGTAAGAATTGGCATGAATCACCTAGCTTGAGGAAGCTTTAAATAAAATCTATACTCTGTTTAGATTGTAGAACTCTTTCTCCTTTTTAATAAAAACCCATTAGTTTAATGAATTTTTTCAGTATTATCCTTGATTTTAATATTTTAGGGAATCATATTTAGTATGCACTTTATACGAAGAGGAGCTATTTCACTTACACATTTCCTTAGTCCAATCCTACATGGGCCTCAGAGCTTTAAATTATTTTCCTTCAAGCTTCACTATCTTTTAAAATGAGTGTGATTCTACATAAGGAACCTGAACTTATGTAACATTGTGAAAACCCACCACCCAAATCACATAAGCAAGCAGAATTGGAGTTTAAAAGATATTTTTAGAAATACCATGTTAGTAAATTTAAGTAGAACTCAACAGTTATCTTCCTTATTTTAAAACTAGACCAAAAATTATGTAGTTCTTGTTCTTGGGTTTTTTCCCAATAAACAAAATTTTTCCACTATAAAATAAATAAAGTTGGTCATGGTTATGTATACCTGTAATCCCAACACTTGGGAAGTAGTGGCAAGATAATCAGGAGTTCAAGGTTGTGCTTAATTACATAATGAGCTCAGGATAGTGTGGGCTACATTAGACCTTGTCTTAAACAAATAAGTTAATAAATAAAACAAGACAGAAGATGGTTTTTAAATGTTATGTTAGCTTCTTACTGAAGCTAACTGTTTATTTGTGCCTGGCACTTTAAGTTTGTGCTACTATCAATCCTATCAATCTCTTATTATTACTAGTTAATATTTCTCTTTGAAAGTGTGTGTGTGTTTGTTTGTGTGTGTGTGTGTGCACACGCGCACGCTTTTCATCTTTTGTTTTTTTGTAATGGAATACCAACTGTGATTTATTAACATTTCATAAAGTAGACAAGTAAAGAAGCATGTTAGAAAGCCATCTATGATGCATTTAAATGACATTGATCATTATGTAAACTAGTTTATTGTGCAAGTTAGGGAGGAAGAAAACAGTTGATTAGAGGAGACATCTATTTATACCAGCAGTAGCAGAAAAATAATTATGTTCCCTGGACATTATGATTAGATACATATTTACACTGAAAGTTTTAACATCTGTAGATAGCTAACCATTCTGTGCTAAGTTGTAGGAAATAAATTGCCTTTAATAAAAGCTTCCTAGTAAGCAATCTAAGTAAATAATCTAGTAATTGCTTGTTTTCTTGTTCAAGTCTTTTTTGTCTGTTTCAAAGAAGGCAAGTTGCACTGGAAAAACCAATGTATTTTATTAATTTCAATAAGATGGTATAATAGAAATACTACAAATTTTGGAGTTAGATAAGCTGACATTTCATGCTATAAGTCTTATTTATCATGCACCTAGACATGGACGCAAGTTTTACAATGCTTACATGTAGTATGGGGAACTGAAGAGCCAATTGGTCATCGCTATTAAGAATATCAGATTTGTTGTATGTAAAAGCCCTATTGCAATTTCTGAAACATAAAATGAGGTTATTTAATGGATATTTCATATATATGTTATGTATATGACAAATACCATTCTAACTAAAGTGATACAAGAGTGGCTAGAGATGCTAGAAACAAAATAAAAGATTGCTCCATATTTTATGGAGCATTTAAATAAATTGTGACATTATTCTTCTTGCTGTGAACAATCATGTTAAAAGTTCAAGAATATTAGGAAATATTAAAACAATATTTTATGTGGTTGATAGCTTAATTTTTATATTTGTATTTCATATTTAGGATGTCATTAGAAACTTGATTTTTAAAAGAAGTATATAGACTATAGAATCAATAATACTCACTTAGGGTAAAATCCAGTTTTATATGTATTGAAATTCTGACTGATTGTAATAAAAACCTTCAGGCAAGTACCATTGACATACAGGCTTAAATGCCTATTTCTGCAAGTATGAATTGAAGATTGTATTTTATAATTTTATGCATGCCCAAAAGGGGTTGAATAAAGAACAGGGCTGCAGTGTGATTAAATTTACTGTTTAGCTCCAAGGACTTGGCTTAACAGTGTGCTAGTAGCTTCTACACATGACCATCTAGAGTATCAGATGGAGAGGAGCTAGGATTCTGGCAGATGTCCAATAGGATTGGCTGTTCCTGAGGAAATGTAGATGCTGCCTTCAGAGCAATAATGTAGGGAACTCTTTTCCTAAAAAATAATTTATTTTAGTACATTTAATTAATAAGATTCTGTATTTCTTTATATTTAAATTTTAGTATGAATGATTCTGTTGCTACCTGTGCCTGAGTGGAAGACTGAAATTCTGTACAAAAATATTTTTATAAGGTAACGTATTTTTAGCTGATTATGACACTTAGTATAGACTGTTTCATCAGTAACCCTTTGTGATATGAATGTCACCTAGCTGAGTAAACAGGATCTTTAAAAAATATTTCATGGCAGTTGTCTTTAATTGCTTTTATTTTTATTTTTAGAGCACACCAAAATTCATAAAATGTCACCATGTTCCCATATACCGCCTGTTCCCTCATATACACAAGCCCTTTCACAGTAAGAACTCTGACCACTGTGGAATGTTGGTTATAATCCATGAACCTATCCATAAATTCTCAATAAGGGGAAAGTTTGAGAGAATAGGAATTACTGTTTTCCTCTCTCGATATTACCTTTCCCCCCCCTCAAAATTAAAGTCTGATGGGGATATAATTCTTTATATAAAATTCTTACTGTACTTTTGGTCTTTCAGCTTATAGAAATTATGATCACCAAGAATAAGGGTGAAAATGTCAAATGTATCTTTTCATAGGATCTCATTTCCCACATTTTTACTCCATTGTTACAATTTTTCCCTTGGACAACTTAATGCTTTTCTTCTTTAATGTTTTATTTTTATGCTTGAGAATTTCATGCAATATATTTTAGTCATCTTCCTCCTCCTCCTCCCTTAACTCCTCCCAGATCTTTCCCCATTCCTTACAAACCTAACTTCTTATTCTCTAAAAACAAAAACAAAACACACAGATATTCTTTCTCTCTCTGTGTCTGTCTCTCTTTTCTGTTTTAAAAGTGGATGCTCTTTCAAGTTCAATTGTAGACCATGAAAATATTTCTTAAGCATGTAAAAAGGTCTTGCTTCAATTTTTAAAAACAATATTCTCTCTTCAGTAAAAATTCCTTGTTTATTCCTGACTATTGCATTTCATTTAAGAATATTCTCAGAATCCTTATTTATGATGTAATTCTTCATATGTTGTTCTTAGATCATTAATTTTTAATGAATTAGAATTTCTGGTTTATAGAACATTGTGTTCTTACAATCATTAATAAAGAGTTCTGAATGTGCACTGGCATTTTACTGGTCAGGAAAATTTAGTATATGTTATAAAAACTGATGTTAAAGCAAGGTACTGAATTATCCTAGTTGAATATAGAATGGGCCTGGCATGATTGGCTTTCTGAGTTGAAGGCACTTTAGATATTTTCTTTAGATTGCACTTGGATGGCAAAGCTGCATGGTATAATATACACCTACTCACAGATTGGTTATGTGTAAATACCTATTAGGAAAAGAGTTTTTGAAGGAGTTACTCAAATATTCCAATATTTGGTGCCTTTGTTTCTTATCATTTCGGATATTCTTTTAGGGAGATTTTCAGATACTATTTTCAGTCTTTTGCTTCTTTTGGATAATTTGAAAAACATTGAACAAGGCAGGCCTCAAATTGTTGAAACTGGTTAAGTAGATTTCTTTGGTGATTGAATTAGATGTATTTTAAGATGGCTGGAATGTAGCTCATGTGCTTAGTAAGTGTGAGACCTTGTCTTCAGTATTCAGTGGTACCCAAAATTAGTCTGTAGGTTTTAGATGAATTTGATAACATTTTGCTAGATCATAGGATTGTACTGATACTATGTGAAAGAAAGAATGAATGTTAAAGAATCTTATTTTAACTTTCATGTTTAGATATTGGATTATTTTAGTTTTTCAACATAATCTTTCCGTATTTGTTTTTTTTATATTTATTTTTATTTAAATCAGAAATAAGCACGCGTCACATGTCAATCCCAGCTCCCTCTTCCTCCCCTCCTTCCCAGCCACCCTTCAATCCCCTATGCCATCCCTCCTCCATGGGGATCCCTAAAGTCTGTCATATCAACCCTGGCAGGGCCTAGATCCTCCCCCATGTGTCCAGGCTGAGAGAGCATCCCTCTGTGAGGAATGGGCTCCCAAAGTCCATTCAGATGCCAGGGATAAATACTGATTTACTACCAGAGGCCCCATAGATTGTCGAGGCCTCCTCACTTACACCCACTTTCAGGGGGGTCTGAGTCAGTTCCATGCTGACCTTCCAACCATCACTCTGGGGTCCATGAGCTTCCCCTTGGTCAGGTCAGCAGTTTCTGTGGGTTTCCCCAGCCTGGTCTTGACCCCTTTGCTCATCACTCCTCCCTGTCTGCAACTGGGTTCCAGGAGTTCAGTTCAATGTTTAGCTGTGGTGTCTGCCTCTGCTTCCATCAGCCACTGGATGAAAATTAGTATACTAATGACTAAAAATGAAAACCAATCATTTCATATTGGTAAAATGCTCTCTAGAAAGTTGTGAGAAAGTTTTATGACTTGCTATTTTTAAAAGTGCAAATTAAGCCTTCTTTTTAATTATCTGTTAATTTGATTTGTTCTGAAATTATCAAACTCAATAGACTAGTATAACTAGCAGTGTACATTGCTTTGAACATTGTTAGTGTAGCAAAACCAACAAGATAAGCATAAGATAGCTATTTTCTTTTTAACTAATTTTGTCACCCAGCCTAAAAATACTTTTAAATGTAGAATTGTGTCTGTCTAGAAGCTTAGGGTAATTAGAATTAATTTCTTGTAATACAGCATATATCAGTTTGAAAATTTTTGTTAAAAAAAAGAATAAATGCACAACCCTTAAGGTCTCATGCTTAGATTTTGAGTTGGGAATAATTATTCTGTATTTTTCCCAGAATAATGAAAGTACAAAAATTATAATTAAAAATCCATTTTAGGTAGATTATTTAAAATGTTTTATTAAAACAAACTGTTGCAGAATTAGAAACATCAAGAACTTTTACCTAATTGTTCGTAAGAGTTGACAGATAGGAAAGTAAGAATGTCAGTGGAATCCTATTTTTCCTCAGGAACCTTCATTTGCTTGTATTTTATAATCAACTAAAATGGAGTTTAAGATTAGGATAGGGTTATATTAGCCCAGGTAAGAAGAACAAAGGCCTCACCCGTAGCCCCCAAAAGGTCACTGAAGAAATAGTCCTTGATCTAGTGAAATTTTAAAAGAGTTTAGCAATAGGGACTTACTGTGCATTTTTAATAGGCCATTTGCTTTCTAAGATGGTCTACATTTGCCTTTTATTACCTTTTTTTTTGTCTCTGCTCCTCCCCCAAGTCATTTAAAATGAACACATTATCAAAAAACAAATTTACTTTTCTGAGTCTGTGGCTTTTCTTTCTTTTCTTTTATCTCAAGGTCTCAAGGATTTAATGCTTTTAAAAGTTTAAAATGTCAACTCCAACCAGGTCTGAGGATGCTTTTCATGTAACTAGCCAGGTACTAGTGTCAGAGTCAGAATTATTAACGAAATAACCCTTCTGCCTTCTTAGTTTTTTATGATTTTGTTTCTGTTTTTCTTCCGAATGATGTCAAATTTGAATAAAATACATCATTTGCATAGGAAGTTATGTAATAATGCCATATAGAGTATTATGATTTCCTAAAAGCTTGTATTTAAAGTAACCTGAATTACAATGAGAGATAAACAGAATATTTACCCATCCCTTATGAGCTGCTGCTGATATGTAAATTTATTCTTCTACTTTGCACAAATATACTTTTGAGCTACTGCTTAAACACTTTGAGGTCCTTAGTCAAACAGTTTTAATGATGCCTCCAGTATTATGAAAGTGTGACATTTGATGAATGTCTCATATAGTTTTGATATCTGGGTACATGTCAACAAAAAAATTGAGCATTAGTTTGTCATGCAACACCTAGATAATTTATAATTTTACTGTTTATATCCATCTTGACATTTTTTATCTGCCAGCGGCAGGTTTCATTTGGAATCTTAATCTGAGATTTATTTGGTGGATCTGGAAATCATAGCCAGGGTTCCCACAGGAAATGGTCCATCTACCAACAGATTAAATGGCAGTCCTGCAGTTGTTAGGGGAGCTGCGCATTTAACACACATGCATACTCATTCAGTCAGCACTGTGGAGAAAAATTAAAGTAGTAACCCAGGTTTAGGAACAATGTAGCTAAAAAGTCCCATATTTGCTGAATGACAAAGGGTTATATAGCAGCATTTCATTTTATTATTCGTGCTTGAATTTCTTGTTTGCTTTGTTGAGTCTGCTGACGAATACTAATAAACGCCTGCAACAATCCAGACGAGAGATGCCTGGCAACAGAGCTACGCGGTGGACCTCCCTGATCTTCTCCAGTTCACAACCTGACCTTTTGAAAAATTGCCTGGGCTAAGCTGCAGAATTTGGGTGTAATGGTTATTGTTAACTCCAGCTTTAGGATTTATTAATTTGTGTGATCAAGACTTACCTATACTTCAAAGTTTCAAAAGACCAAACACAATCATCCATCCATTAGAACTGACATTTTATGTCAGTGAGTCTCGATTAGTATCAGAGAGGTGTTTCTCCTGTTTTATTTTCTTATTCTAACGATATTCTTAAAATGAAAGGGACATAGAAAGAAAATACGTTTTTCTCTTTATACTTATTGAAGTTTTTTTCTCTAATAAATGTTATCAGAATTTGAATTTATAATAGCTGTGCATTTAACTTAGGACAAAAGTATGACCATTAAGCTTAGTTTATGTGCTGTTGCAAAAGTTTACCGTTTACTGAGTTTGTTCATGTTTTTAGTTACATTTTATGAATTATTCTTAGAAAAATTGGGAAAGTCTAAAAATACTGAACTATACTATAAATTCCAAATAGCTCATGACAAAAAGTAAAAGAATAAAAATTTACTGTTACATTAATTAATCAAATTTTGGATAGCTTTAATAGTTACTTCAGTTTAAAGAATATTTTTAGTATTTTAAACAGGGTGATAGTTTTACAAATATTTTATTTCTGATGTAATTATTTTAAGCTTTAGGAGGTTGATTTCATTATTTTATAGTGTTTATTCTCTACATCAGATAAAAGACATTAAAATTGAAAAATCTCAAATTTTAGGGTAGAATTTTATGAACATTTATATATTTTAAATAATTCTTGCATACAAATCTGAACATTTTCCTATAGACTAAAGAGTGCT